TATAAACACACGCAATGAGGTGTGAGAAACAGCTCTTTGTCACAAGCATAAATTATCACTCCAAGTCAAAGACCAGTGTGGACTTGTTGACAATATTTAACACAGATAGAGCTGAGATGCACCTGTCATTTAGTTAAACATTAGGTAAGACAATAAGCATTATCTTATTTCAATCTCACAATGACCCTATGAGATAGCTGTACTTACTCTCCCCGTTTTCAGGTCAGAAAATTTCTTCATACAGTCATTAAACAAGTCAAGGGCCATGAAGCTGGTTCGCAACAGAGCCAAAATATGACCCAAAGTCTGCCCCTTGAACTGGGAGGGTCTCAACCACTACATAATAAATATCATTTGGGCAAATACATTAAGGACAAAGGCAGAAGGCTCCTTGATTGGTCACTTTTAATCATGCTTTATCAGTCTTGAACTTATCACAAATAGTTTTTTGTTTTTTAACAAATTTTAGAAATTCTTCCAGGAAGTTTTTCAGAATAAGGCCCCAAACAGTTGCATTACTCCTTTAGCTTACAGAAAAAAATGCTCTTTGTTAAGCTATAGACAAGAAGAAACAAGAAAGTCAAGCTCTTAGTAGCTTATATGTTCCAAGAGTTCCTGACAAACCTTTATTATGTTTTTCACCAATGTTAGCAGAAAATATTTTAATAGGTGGGGAAAAAGGAAAATATCCTGAGGGAATACACTGAAAGAGACTTGTTAAACCTGGAATGAACAAATGATTTAGAAGTCACTAATGTTTATATGATATTATCCTCATAGTGAAATTTTAGGGTTTTATGTCTCTGAATAAAGAAGAACATAGACTAGCACTTACAGTCTCTGAACAGACAAATACGATTAAATTACTGAGATTTTTAAATGAAGTAAGGTTGTTCATTTAGAGCACATTTTAACAACTACAAATTACAATCAAAGGGTGTACATAGATAGGGTCGTTGAGCGCCAACAGCAGGCTCAGGCGACCAGCTAACCTGGATGTGGTTCACAATGAAGACCTAAAGAGGCTATTTATAAAGAATGCTTTAAATCACTGCAATTATACTTTCACATAATTTTGAATAGTAGCCAGCAATAAAACATGAATGGACTACAGCAATGAAGAGCAATATGAATGGACCTTAGCAATTCATTATTAGGTGAAAAAAGTATATTCCCCAAAATGACAAACAGCATGATCTCCATAGAATAATGTTTAAAACAACTAAGATAAAAGACACTTTTTAGGTATATATGTAGATACAATAAATATGTAAAAAGAAAAGCAACAGAGTGATGAATACAGGACTCAGAAAGATGGTTACCCAAGACTGATAAAAATATTATACTGGCGGTAATAAACAGGTTATTTAACAGATTTTAGCTTTTGTTCTGGATGGTGCATTTTCAAGTGTTTACTACATAATTAAAAACAACTAAGTAATGTAAGTTAGTAAATAAATCAAAATGGGCCATGCACAGGCCAAATGATAGTCGGTCATCGACCTGGAATCATGAAGTCCTAAATAAATGAATATATGAATAGCAAAAATAAAACACCGTAGCTGTCAGGAAATTTGACACTTTCTTCACATTTTTTTGTTTGTTTTTGTTTTGTTTTTTGTTTTTTTGTTTTGTTTTTTATTGTTTGTTTTTTGTTTTGTTTGTTTTTGTTTTTAATCACTGGTAGCAAAAATACTGAATTGAGTATTCTTTTTTGTCCCTTAAAAATAACATCCTGAATTTATGAAAACTTTGCTTCATATTTGAACTTATGAACTCAAGGTATCCTCTCACTTTTTTCTTGCTGATTCTTTTTTTTATTATTTTTCATTATGGTAAAACATTCATAACATAAAATGTACCATCTTAGCCATTACAGTATTGTTAAGTATATTCATTTTGTGCAACCAATCTCAAGAATTCTTTCATCTTGCAAAACTGCAACTCTATACTTGCTGATTCTTGAATATTACAGTGATTTTACAAAGGATAACTTTGTATCATTGGAATGAAAATAAATGGTACACAGAAAGCATGTCCATGATGTGTCAACTGGTTTAGTCACTAGTTCATTTTATTTGGTCTCAAGTCTAGATTAATATTTCTTTGAATCCTTTCAATATGTCAGATCTTGTTCTTTTCTGTTTTATACTATGGTCAGATTTAGTCACATTTCAGAAATAAATTTAGAATAAATATTTGTAGATTTGTTCAGACCTGAATATTTCACTGGTATTAGTACTATACAAAAAAAGAAAGAAAGGGAAATACAGGACTCTTTCACATGAAGTGTGACTTAAAAAGGAAAAAGAATATCACTGGGTTCTATTCTTTTACCTTTAACCAGTGTATTGGGTGATTTGAGTTGAAGTAAATTATGAGACGAATGATGTTTCTAAAATTAATTTTGAATGTATTTATAGGCGCTTCAAAACGGAGGGAGTTATTTAAAGATTGACAAAATGTGGAAGCAATCTTCTTTATCATTTTTGAAACCTAAATGGAAGTTCCAAGGTTAGCACAGAGTAGTTACTGTTCATTAACCATTTGTCCATTAGACACATAATTATGAAAGGGCTTCTGTATACCTGGCAAGGTGTGGCACTGAGGTGCTAAGATGTGAGTCAGGAAGACAGTTCTGTAAACAGATAGGGTACGTGCACTTCCATAGGAGATATAAACACTATAAGAAGAGAGCAAAAAGGATAGAGCCACTAGCCATTGTTTTAAATTACTTGCTTTTAATAGTTTCAACTCTAATGTAACAGTTTAGCTTAGCTTAATAGTTTCAACTCTAATTTTGTCTTAAAGACTTGATACTAAAATCGTAATTGCAGATTCTTTTTTCTCTTTGCAAAGGGATACAAATTTCTAAAAGATGTTTTAATGGTTTTGTTGTACATTTTCAGTTATTAATTTTAAGTCATACAACTGTAACTTAAATTGTGTCATCCTAGTAAATGAAGCCATAAAACTAAAAGGACAAGCTTCCAACAATTGGGTTTTTGATTAGTGGGTAAATGTTATACGAAGATATTCAAGCACTGAGAATTTGTTGGACTCCAAAAACCAATTTAAATATATCTTCTAATGTCTGTTTACAAAGCAGATTTTTTTCCCCAAAATGTTATCTCACTTTTCATCATTCACCTTCAATCCCATAAAGTCTAAAACCTGTTAAAAACAAAAATTATCCTTGGATCATTATTGTTATAGCATGGGAATTCTAAGATAGTATCACAAAGACAATTTTACTTCTTAAGGAAACATTTAAGCCTTAAAAATAAAGTTATTGAGGCTACATACTGGCTTATTTTGACACAGTGCTGTCAAGAATTTAGGAATCACAAATAGAATTATCATAATAATAACAATGTAGGAGACATCTGATTGTCTTCCAGACTGTAAACATTTACTTAAAAGGAAAAAAAAATAAAAATCATTGTAGTTGTGCCAATATTTAAAAAGCTATCATTTTAATTATGATTTATGGTGAGATTTTCTTTTACTTGCCCATTCTAGTCACTAGAATAAGGGTTTTTTTAAAAAATATTCCTTTTGATCCCTTTTGGTAAACAATGTGAAGAGATAAAATTTCACATAACTCAATCTAAAAATAAAGCAAAACAAAAAACAACCAAGATTTCCACACACTCTTATACTTACATAGGATTGGCAGAAATATGTTCAAGTAACATATTTGTTTTTCAATAATCTTTTGAAGTGACATATATAATGTGACATATATATCTCTGTCTTTATCTATCTGTATAAAAGCATTCCACCACTGCCGTATATTTCTAGTCAAACCGTGTGTACATGTGTAGATGGATACAGAGGGGAAAAAGAGTGAGAAACAAAGAGAGATAGACAGATACATAGAGGGAGAGAGAGATGTTAATAACTCTGATTGGGTATAGAGTATTTCATATATAGTATCAAGTTTCAGCATCGTTTACACAAAAGCCCAAGAGGTACCTGAGATCTTGAAATTATTTCAGTAGCCCAGGTAGTACACTTTGAGATTGCCTCACTCTCACACAGAAATCACACCCCACACTTAAAAATACAAAGTCCACAATATCTATAAAAGGCCCTCTTGATCATTAATTAGGTAATGGGAAAGTTTTGAGGTAGTGATTATTACTACTCTCTTTGCTTGCTGAATTTGTCAAAAGTAAGATGACATACACATTTTCTTGCACTTTGGTGCTTTGAACACACAGCATCATGCCATATTAAAAGTTCCATTAAGCAAGACAAGCAAAACACATACCACTATTTCTAAAACTTGATGCAGCTGTATTACTTCTTTAGAAAGTTACCCACAGACATTTTTCTTTCACTTATCAAAGAGAGGCATACCAGAAGCAGAGGTGCTACTTGCATAACTGCCATATTTTAATTGTCCTGAAATATTCCCACAGAATGCTGGTTCTTAACATTGTATGATGTACCAGATACAGCTTTTAAGCTATCATTTTGGTGGGAGTAGTCTTCAGGACTTTGGAGCCCAGACATCAAGGATATCAAATATGTACAAAGCTGTTCTCTCCACCCACATGTAGGACAGACATCAGAAATCAAACAGATCCTTTCTGTGGACCCTGATAAGCCCAAGAATTTCTCTCAACATAGTTATGTACTGTGTAACCACTAATTGATCCACTACAAAATAATTAGGGGCTGCAAATTGGTTTTAATTTGAGTGCTAATCTTAGAGATCAAGTTGGTAACAGAAAACTACATGGGAAAGAAGAGAAGTAAGTAAGTTTACAAAATGTCTCCACTTGAAGATGATAATTTATGGGTTAAAGTTTTAAAACAAGTATGTCTGATAAGTCAGTTTCCATATTCAGCAATTTACTGACTTAATCATGTTAGTATGTTTATGTTGTTTTCATAGTATTTCATAATTGAAATTGATCATTTCCAAAAAATTAATTTTTGCCTGTTACACTTGGAAGGATCAAATACTAACCTCTAATAATATATATGTAGTGCTCACTTTGGCAGCACCTATACTAAAATTGAAATGACATAGAGAAGATTAGCCTGGTCCCTGCACAAGGATGACATGCAAATTTATGAAGGGTTACATATTTTTAAAAAAAGAATGAGTAAAAATATGTACGTATCTGTTTCCTTCAGAGTTATAGAATGTAGATTACTAGTATGAAAAGAGATCACTCTGATGAAATAAACATTGTCTTCACTGTCACTTTACATAGGCTTATATGCTATAAAGTTAAATTTTAAGCACATTTTTCAAAAGAGATTTAATATTAATTTCCTTATGAAACAATAGCAGGAGCTGTATGCGTTTAAAAATACAACCTATGATCTAGTTATCTTATATTGATTTTATTTGCTTATCTCTATCCAAAATCCAAAATGATTTGTTTTTTAAAGCATATTTACTTCACTTTGAAGACAAATAGGCAGGAGGAACTCACAGTAAAATGCTGCAATGTCTCTAACAATTACTGTTTCATTTATAAGTTATATAATTCATTAACAGTTATCATTTCATAACGTGAAATGGCAGGCACTTTATTTTTAATTATTTAATCTTAGGCAAGTTACAGAAACATTCAAATAATGATAAGGCCTTATAACAACATCCTAAGGAAATTCTAATTATATCTGCTCTTTGTTTCATCTTTGGAAAAGCAATTTAATTGACTCAAGTTAGCAAGTGCAAGGTCAGTCAAATGCCCTTTGGCCTAATTCAGAGATGCCAGGACAACTGAATGGAATACACAAGAGGAAGTTACAACTTGTTCATAAAACCTAAGTAAAGACAAAAACTCACAGCCTTAAAAATGCAAGTGGCCACCTCTGTCAACGAACAGGATTCAAGTTCTTGACTGGTTGTAAAAAGGTTGGGAAAATGCTGCTCTAGATGCCGTATGATACAAGGATTTGAACAACAAAGGGAGCAGTGACTACTCGAGTCTCAGTTCCAAGGACAGAGAGAGGTAGGAGATCGGAGCTCAAAGACCGAAGTACTGGGAAAAAAGGACAGGAGAGCCAGCGGTAAAGCACGTAAAACTGAAGGCGGCTGGGGTAGAGACTGTTACAGAAGGGAAGTTTCAGTTCTCAAGGTTTGCGTCTAATCGCCCACATAGCTTCATTCATGAAGTCTTGGGTGAGAACTGTCTCTCCCTTTCCTGTTTTAGGACTCAGCCCAAAGCCTCTTTGACGTTTAGCTTTCTTCCGTCAACCAGCTCCAAATTCCAGTACACTCGCGTCTACCACATCCATCTGCCCCCTTCTATTTGCAAGTAGATTTAGTTTGGGACCTTTTCCTGGCATAAAGAGCAATGAACTGCAGTGGAATTGGAAGACGTGGGTTCGAGTCTCTACTGCACCGCTTGTTAGCAGCGAGTGTTGCACTGCCAAATATCATCTTAGCATTAGCCCCAGAATGAGTTTGTTCTGCCTGGAATGGCAGGAGCTCAATAAATATACTGCATGAAAATGAGAAAAATGCTACTGTATCATACAAACTAAAACGAAATTTAAGAAATCCACAAATGGGTTGGTGATTTTGAACTTGTGGTGCAATTACACTTGTGGATAAATTTCAAAATTTTGTGAGGAATACAAGTCACAGTCTCCCTTCTCTCCTTACAGGAAGTATATGACTCATTAAAGCTGAGAAGTATATGACTCATTAAAACTAAGTGACAAGGGACCTTATGTTTTCTTCCTACCCTCCTTAGCACCTGGCACAGCCCACATACATAAAAAGTACTCGGAAATTATTGAAAAGTGATCTGCAAAGTTTCCTTTAAAACTGGAGACAGAGACAGAGTCCTTGTCGAGTTCCGGCAGAAGTCTGAGCAGTCTGACAACATCCTGACAGTCCATTACAGTGACCAGATGGGACCTGCACATCAGCACCCGGGCGGGGGAGCCCGCCCATCCATGAACGAGGCAATTGTTTCACCTCTGTGATTACTAGACAGCATGTGCTCCGCAGGCAATAGGAGCAGATTAATCACCGTGAACTAAGCAGGGTGCCTTATACCAAAACTTAATTTATTGGGGAGTCCACAGGATTTCCAAGGGTTTATATTTTCTTTATTTCAAGTATTAACTAAGAATAAAGAGTGGCAATTTTCTTTTGTCAACCATGACTTGATTTCAAATGAGAATTTATTTATTCTCAGTCTTTTCGCCTAAATAATAGGCTTCCAGGGTCACACGTTAGATGAGAACGTCTTATGCAGCCGTGAAGTGAGTTAATGAACTAGAGTCCGAAGGTCATTCTGATTTATAAAAGCATTTCTGCTTATACTCAATATAAAGCAAGCAAGTACAGGATCCCCGTGTATGAAAACCCTCGTTTTAGACTTCCTTAAGGAAAGGGAAATAACAAAGTCCTTTTCATGCTACACAAAAAAAGGGTGTTTAAATATGCCACTGAAAATTATTATAGTTAAAATTATAAACTCATTTCGATTAGTAATTTTTCTAATAATGATTAAAATAAGAGAACATTTTGATGAATTTCAAGTAAACTGACTAATTTTTATAATTACGTACCTCATTTTCATGTTAAATAAGGAGAAAAATAATACGAAATTACATTACAATTGCTGGGAAGAAGGAAAAAAAAACGTTAATAGAGTCATTCCATGTTTATAAATGTGACAGTCTGCTCAAAAAGAAAGTCAATCTTCTTAAGAGTGTCTGAGTTCTAGCTTTTAAGTGTTTTAAGTTTACCAATGTTTCCTTTTAAATAGTTCTGACTGGTTTTTGGTTAATAAACAAAAGCATTAAAGTTCTTAAATGTGAGGACCTAAATTTTATTAGCAAGGTGAAATGAAATTATCTCAAGTTATTCCATAAAAACATGGAGTTCTCTTTTAGGTAGGTTATACATTTATATTGCTTTGATACATTGCTTTCTCATTTTAAAACCCATGGAAAACTTCCTTGTTTTCTGCCAGAAACATATTTAGTGCTTTTTACCTTAAAAACAAACGTCAATTACATTAAACATAAAAATTTTAAGTATTATACTGCTTTTGCCTTCAACACTGTAAATTTAACTAATACGTTTTTGTTGGGGCCCGGTTAATAATCTTCACCTTTGTTTAGTTAACATGACAATTCTTTGAACATTTTATGTAAAACATTTAATTTTCACACATATCAGTTTCAAGAGAAAATATTTTTAATTAAATAAAAATAAAAAAGATAAGTATTGTCTCAAAATGAAAGTAAACTATTTGAAGACTAATTGTTAGATTATTTAAAAATGGATCACTGCATGTCCTACACTCTCGTTTATTAGATTCTTGGTTACGGCTTAGCTTTGCTAGAACCCAACAGAAATAATACTATTGAAAAACATGGGAAACAAGATGTAAAACAGCAAATGTTTTGAATAAGGCTATTAATATCCAAAATGCAAATAATACTAATAAGGATACTGACATTCCCCATTTGGTTACTCCTATGATTCTAGCATGTATACATCAGGAATGATATACAATGAGCTTGACTGTTATATTTGGAAGTGAAGCAAAATTCTTTTGAGAGCTCATTTTATGGCTTAGATAGTAAAGCAAGATGTTAAAAAAAGAAATTTTAGCTGAGAAAAAATTTAAAATGAGATGCTAGCTGAGGATGCAAAAATCTTCAAAGTAGGTGGCCAAGAATCATTTAGATGATTTCACCTATGTTCAAGCTATACGATAGTTGGACACTGGGACTTACAAAGTTTTTTCCTTTCCCTTTAGAAGGATATTTTGTCTGAGACAGTTGTGTCATGTGTCTTACAAGCCCCAGGGTGAGAAGCAGGTGCCAGGGAAGGGGCTTTGATGGGACCTCGAGAAGCACTTACTGTTGAACATGCCATTTGTGGGACATTGTGGACAAATGTCTAAAGGGTGAGAGAGACTGAGACAGGTTTCAGTGGGCACAGAGGCCAGGCTCAGTGGCTATACTGATATCAACCTGAACTTCTAGAGTGTGCCAGGAAAATACAGAAGACAGCTTCCTATGGAACAGATGGGAGACATGGTCATGCAAAAATTTGATGGCATGAGGTCACCTTAGGTCCTGTTCAAGAAGGCTGAGTGAAAAGACTTCAGAAGTTAACACCTGGTGGAACTGCAACCTGTCTCAGATAAAGAATGAGGACACACCAGTCAGAGGAGAAATGCAGTCACGCTTGTCCAGAAAATTGCAAGGGAAAGAAGTCCAGAAAGAGGAAATTCCAGAAACTCACAGAGGGGCCAATGAAAGAAAAGTCACCCTTCTTTAAACATCTGACAAGACCAGAAAGTTGAGAAGTGAGGTCCCTCTGACAATGGCAAAAGACATTTTCCTGAACCCCTCTCCTCTTCTCTTCTCCTCATACGACAGCATAGGGTCAGACACTGACTGTAACAGCTTAGAGAAGAAGAGGAATGCAGTCAGGGTCAGGAGAGAAGAAGCCTCTGAACAACTCCCTTCTCAGGAACCTGCCCTCCCTCCCATGGCGTGCCCAAATGGGGACAGGTAGAGCGAGCGAAGGTTCAATTTTAAATGAGGTTGGACACTCTGTTACATTAGACTGGACCTTTTAATTGCTGGAAAACAACTGTCTGTACTCTCTAAGAGTGACCTTGAAAGCCATGGGGTCTGCTGGAGTCATCAAACAGGTCCAGGGAGAAGACCCAGTCCCACAGAGCAGATTGAAAGGGACTGTGGGAGGTAAAATAAGTTGTTTATTATTATACCCCATGAGTTGACATAATGGTTGCTGCTGGATTAGTAGGTAAAATAAATAACAACTGTAGTCTCAGAATAAGTTTATTTCTCACTGGTCTATTCATCTGTCTCTATAACCCACTTGAAAAACAAGAGAAGACAGAAGAAAGAAAACCAAGAAACAAATGCTTCATTAATAGATACAAAAGCAGTACTTAGCTTAATAAATCATTCCCTTTGTGACCTGTTTGCTTACATCCTGGTTTAGAGACTCACTCCACTTAAGCATGGTTTGAACTGCGTCCAAAATGAGTAACATTTTCAGATGGAAGGATCCCAACAATTCATTAACTCAAGAAGCCAACTAAGTAGCATAACCAGAGAGGATTGGACATT